TGAAATATTAAAATTTAATTCATAAATAAATATGAAATTGAATTAAATAAGAAGTTAAGAAAATCTCTAAAATAATAACTCCTAAAAATGTTTCCTAACCCCTCCCATCAAAGAATAACTCTCTTACGAACACTTTGGCATTTTACTAGATAAGAAGTTGTTCATGTTTAATATATAGGAGTTGATGGATATATTTTATTAACTAATTTTAGCCATTAAATATTATTTTAAAAAAATAATTATTCTTTTTTAAAATTGCATTAATCGCTTCAATCACATAAATATTATATTAAAATGTATAATCAAAATTGTTAGCATAAATGGTAACGATTTGTATCTCTTAACCAAATTATATATAGTTTGAATCTCGACCTTGAGAATAAAATAAATTATATTTGCAAATTCAAGTAATAAATACTTTCAATATCATAATTATTCAAAAATAACATTTACTGTAATCATTACATTCAAGTTTGTTCATTAATAAATTATATTATTATTGTTAATATTGTTTATCATATAATTTAATAAATATTTTACTAACCTAATTAGCAACAATAATGCCAATGTTGACAATAAAAGTAATGGGGATGGTAATAATAATAATGATCGTAATAGAAAAGTATATAAATTAAATTTTAATCTCACCTTATTTTAGAGGTTATTGTTAATGATTTTTAATTCTTGTACCAAGAATTTTCTTATTTCAAAGTTTAAATGTCACTTGTATATAATTTTTTTTTAAAATAAACATTTATATAAGACTAAAATATTTTTTTGTCCTCATAAAATAAGTGAATTTTGATTTTGATTTTCATAAAAAAATATTTTTTTTACTTTTCTAATATTTATAAACATTATTCTTTTTATTTCTTTAAAATGAGTAAATTTTGATTTTAATCATGTAATTTTTTTTATTTTTCTAAAATTTAAAGTCATTATTTTTATCTCTAATGATTATTTAAAATAGATAAATAATATTTATTTTAAAATCTATAAAATATTTTTGAGGTATCACAATGACATAGTATCACTATTAATTAAGAATGATCACTTGGCATTATAATAAACAAACAAATAATTAAAAATAAATACATAATAGTCGATATTATAAATAATAGTTTCAAATTTTAAAGAGATAAAATAAAAATAAAAATATTTATAGGAACCAAAAAAATTACATTTATTTTGTAAAGACTAAAACCATATTTAAGTCTTATACAAATTATAACAAATATGAAAATATTTAAATATATTGATATTTATAATTATCTTATCCGCCATGTTTATACAACCAAGGCAGACCTAAGTTTTATGAGGAAATCACAATGGGACACTGAAATAAATTTGTGTTTGAGTTGCTTAATACTAACATGGCACACTAGGGACTACTTTTTTCATTTTTCAATACATGAAACAACTCAAATGAATTGCTTCCATTGAAAATGCCCTTAGTTATATTATAAATTTCAATGATTCTCTCCTACGCGTGAACTAATCATATTAATCTGTTGAGTTTTATTAGGCCAAAAGTTCAAAAAGGTTCAATCGTTTTGGGAAGTCCTCAATCGGAAACAATCAATCATTAGTCATTTCATAAACTCAAGCCTAAAAAATGTGGTCGTTCGCATAATTTGGTTGATCCACACTCCATCAAATGTCAAGCCTTGAAAATACACGTGCTTGCTTGATCATTAAATTCTGACCAATGTTATAACCTCTCACTCTTAAACATCGAATTATTCTCTCACCGTTAAAATTGATAATATTAAATTAAATCAGCTAACAGATATTAAGCTTTCAATGGGTAGGAAGAAAATTTGATGTGTGGATTTCAAAAGATTTAACATTTTTCATAAATTCATAATCAATCTAATATTTCTTAATCAGTATTACAAAACACTTGTTTGCTTTAACGAGTTGTTTGTCCCATAGAATAACTCAAGTTCAAATTTTTTATTATTGGAGGACTCTAACATGGCAACATGAGTTGCTTGAAGAAGAGAGAGAGTTGTTTCCTCAAGCAACCGTTCCTTACCAGATTTCAAGCAGATTTTATTGAACATATTTAGAAACGTTTCAGAAATAATAATAATGAAAATTAATTTCGTATAATGTTTGTGTATTTACTATTGCTTTATTTTATTTTTAATATCTAATTATTGTGTATTTTTTCTCGTAATTTATTTTCTTTCATTGTAGTGCAATTATCATTTTTAATAAAAATTTAAATTTAGTTCATAAATGATTAAAAAAAATTCTAAAAATTAAATTTTTTAAAGTTTTTTATTATTGAAATAAATTTGTGTTTGAGTTGCTTAATACTAACATGGCACACTAGGGACTACTTTTTTCATTTTTCAATACATGAAACAACTCAAATGAATTGCTTCCATTGAAAATGCCCTTAGTTATATTATATTTTCTTGTAACACATGATTTTATTATTATTATTTAGCACTTACTTTTGTTTTAAAAATAAATTATTACTTGTTTTAATTTTTTATTCACATTTAGATTTTTTCCTTCAATTTCAATTTTTTTTGTATCCTTTATATAACTTTTTTTTTTCAATCTGAAATATCTAACATTATACAATTATACGCCGCTTTTAAGATCTTACCCATCTTCCCTAAATATAAAATATTTATATAATTATGTTGTTGAATTTTAAAAATTAATCATATGTATTTATCATTATCTTAATTTTATTCTTTCAAAATTTTATTTTAATAAAATTCTCCCCGCAATATATAAAATTCGACTATGTATCCTTTATTGTATTAAAAAATTTCGATAGAAGAGAAATACATACAAAATGATGTTGAGTGTGAAATTTTTTTAACCATTCAACATTTTGGTATGTATTTTTCTCCTACTGAATATTTCTTGTACATACACACTGACCAAATATGTAGCAATTCATTATATAGTTGCCATGATAATTTAATAATACGTTAATTTAGATTTGATCTAGTCATATGTCGTCACTGACATTCTGTAAAATCTAGCACTGCTAATTAATGCGTTTAAATTCTACCAAATTGTCCTTTTGCTGTATAATCCCAAAATTAAAGGGAAAGCAAGATACTATGATGTCTACTGTTTGACAAACATGACAGCAGAATTTTGTTATATGTTATTTTATTTAAAAGGAAAGCTATTATTCTATTTTTTAATATAAAAAATGACTTTTCTTTTTGAACTTTCCATTTCTACCAAAAAAAAAGTAACATATATTTATATAAATAAAAATACAATGAAATTATAATAATATAAAAAAGTAATCACTTTTGTATGATCAACAATATGTTATCTAACAAACAGTAAATATATATGAGGAAGGATCTCTTACTTAAATTATTCACTCAATAACTTATAATATATGTTAAATTTTAATGATTTAATCATTAAATTAAAAATTCTTAATGTATAGATCAAGTCTACAAATTTTAAAAAAAATTAAAATATTTGATACTTTGTTTCGATATTTCAAATTGATGGATAATCATAAAAATATTTTATACGTTGATTTGAATCTATATAACGAAGTATTATATGATTTTTAAATTTTTTTTAAAAATTGTAAACTTAAACTATATATTAAAAAAAATTTAATTTAACAGTTGCTTAAGTTCAAGAGTAACTCTTGCTTAAATTATTTCACTCAATAACTCATGATATATGTTTAATTTCAACCATCTAACTATTAATTTAAATTTTTTTTAATATATAAATCAAGTTTACAAATTAAAAATTTTAAAAATTATTTAATACTTCGTTTCATTAATTCAAATTGACAGATAATTATAAAAATATTTTATATGTTGATTTGAATCTATATAACGAAGTATCATATTATTTTCAAACTTTTAAAAATTTGTAGACTTAATCTATATATTAAAGTTTTTTAATTTAACAGTTAAATCATTAAAATTTGATGCATAGATAAAGTCTAAAAAGTTTTAAAAAAACTATTTAATATATCATTTTATTAATTTATATTGATAGATAATATAAAAATATTTTATACATTTATAAAAATCTCTTGAAATCTTAATTCAATACACCCGTTTTTTCTTTGTTTTGAAAAAGAATTTTCGGTTGATGTGATAGGAATATATTATTGAAGAAACTCTATCTACAGTATTCTGAGAAATTTATTATTTATGTAGCATTTTTTTTTGTATTTATGCTTTATATATCAGATCACTGGTTGGTAGCAGATTTCTGACAAAAGAGTAAATTTTTGGTTTAGACATTATTGGAATATTCATTCGTCTCTTTATTGCCAATATTAGAATATTTTCCTTTTCTTGTTGGATGTATCACTATCTAAAATTGGTACTGTTATCCCCTTCATTCTATAACGTTTTGAGTTCTGATATAGAGGAATGATCATTTTACAATATGATCATTCTACCATTGTCCTTGGCTGCAGTGTAACATCAGCATATGTACCACCACCTCCTATACTTTGTAATGCCTAAATTCTCTCTCAAGAGATAATATCTCTCATAAATCTTAATATTCTTGTTATTTACAGGTAATATGACTTATTTCTTCAACCCACAATTTAACTAAATATTTATGTATCTAATTATCAGGTTGGCCTAGTGTGGCTGATCCCGGGTATGACTGAATTAGATTTGAGAGGAAATGAATTCTTTTGTTGTGAAATAGAATATTGATGTTTCTGATATTGTAACGAGGTTATATTGCTTTACTATGACTCTGGCTGATGCTTAACATAGTCCTCTACATTTGTTTTGGACCCACCAGTGTTCCTAATCAGAATCCCTCAAACTTCTCTTTATGCAAATGGGCCTGGCCCATTTAACTAGAAAAGGAACACAGCCCATTCAGAAATGGATGTCTTAAGTAAGAGCTTAGCCATCTTAAAATCCTTTATTATTTACACGCAACATGACTTATTTCTTCAACTAACTAATAAATATTTATCAAAATCACTTGTATATGTAGGAGTTGGAAATCATGAATAACCAACCATGATGCTGCAAGCCATTTTATTACAATCTTTTCAAATTTACACATGCAATGACAGCTTGCTTCAACGAAAGTAAAACTTTTTATGCACGCATTTTCACACGAATGGTTTCCAGTGCAAAATCTTTGTTTACACTTAGATTCAGAGTTTGAGAGGAGTGGGTCAGAGGATGTGTAACAGTTACTTCATAGTCTCCATGGTGCAGTGAAATATCTACAAATCCTCTGTCATCTGCAGTGGCAACAATAGACCCAGTTCTCCACTCCTGAATCAGCTTGTCCACAACGTCTCCAGCCGGAGTATTTTTGAAATTCTCATCTGCCAAAGTAGTGGCGTTGAAACCAGCTTGTGCTGGACCAGAAAACATTATAATCCCTTCAACACCAGGATGAGAGTACGCCTCTCTTAGTACCTCTTCTAAGAACTCTGCCTACTCAAGAAACCACAACAAGAAAAGTAAAGGTAATGCAATCAGTCACCTGATATATTGACATTTCCTTCTCTTTTTTTTTCCCTAACAGATAAAAATATAAATTGGTGTCTTTGGCATTAAGGGGTCTTTTACAACAACTTATGAAAATAATTTTGGAGTTTATTTTCTATAGACTATCAGTGAAAATATTTTAATATTGTAGACTGTGAAGTAATCAGAAATTGTCGACCTATAAGGCAATTATTATAATACATGATCATCTGTGAGTGAACGGAAGTATAAAGATGCTTTTACAGCTAGTACGTTCTAATTTGAAACATATAAGCTAAAGTTTTTGATAGTTTAACAAAATAAACTTACAAACAAGTTTACAACATTTGCATGACTTATTGTGTAATTTAATAAGTTGAATTTTCTGTTGTAAGTCATAACTAAATGTTCAAGAATACTTTCTAAAGTTGAGGAGATACCAGAATATTTTTCTTAAGTGGAGGAAATACCTGATTTGGCTGTGGATCCACACTCACTTCTGTGAGCCATATTGGAAGTCCAGTTGAAGCAAGAAGATCAAGACCTGACCTCATATAAGCAAGATTTGGCTAGCCAACACTAAAATGGCCTTGCAACCCTATTGCTGCTGACATTCCAGCAACTCCTGGAAATGACAGAATCTCCTCAAGTTTCTTGATATATTTGACTGGGCTGGCAGACTCATCCCCACTATATTCAATGGTGTTAAACTCATTCAGGAACATCTTTGGTTTTGGATCAAGCTCATAGGCTGCTACATATGCATTTGCAGAGGCATTTTCACCAAGATTGTCCTCATAAAAGTGGAAGTGGAGATTCTCATTCATCACATCCCATGCAATCAGTTCTCCTTTGTATCTTGAAACCACTGATTCTATTCTTCTTGTTGCTGCTTCTGCTAATTCTAAAGGTGATAGGGTCTTAACCCATTCAGGCTGATATTTTGGATCGTCCCAGAAAATGTTATGGCCTCTCACAGAAATGCCATTCGCTTTGGTAAAATTCAACATGGCATCTGAGATGGTGTAGTTTTCCTGGCCTTGCTTTTTCTCCGTACTATACCACTTCATCTCATTGGTGAAAGTTGTGAATTTGAACCTTGACACAAACCAATTCTGGTAGTCTTTGTTTGTGAGGATATAATGGTTCATTCCACATCCAAATGGGAAGTTCAACTTTACTGGTGTGCTGGTAATTATAGCACCTTTCATCGCTGTTTCATTTATATGAGTTATCTGGAATCTCACTTTCCTCTTACGTATCTGCATGTTAGTGATCAAAACTCGTTATTTTTTTCCCTTCTACTGGTGTGCTGGTAACTATAGCACCTTTCTTTGTCTATGCAATTTGGTCTGCTATTGCCTTTATTCCTCTCAAATTCAAGGTTTTAAATTGGGTTCACAGTCATGAACTCTTTTGCATTCTTTGATATTGCAGACACATATGCAACTGCAATTGCGGTCTCAAAGATCCTTAAAACCTTAATGTTGTGGCCAAAATTGTGGTCGACAAGTGTTTTTTAAAACCTTGATCATAATGACCAGACTAAAAATTGGTGAATTTCATTTAATTAGTAGTACGAAAATATTATTCTTTCCCTGATGTAAAGCACTGGGATATATGTGAAACTGAAAAGGATATAAGAAGCATTGACTTTTATGAAAACCAATATCTGTAAAGTGGGTAGGATTTGCATAAGCTTACCCTCTCAATGCTGGAGTCTTGTAATGATCTCCACTGCTTTTTAGTAAATGGTTGTAAGGAGACACTGTCAGCCCATATTTCCACATTGGAATTCTTGCTCTGCATCGTTGAATAAATTTTAGTTGACAAAACAGATATCTAAATACACACACAAAGAAGGATCTTACGCAATTCTCAAGCGCCTATAATTCCTTTAATTTTGCATGCATTTTATACTCATAAAAATATTTACATGCTCTTAAATGGGAACCTCCTGGTATCCTAGCTTTCTTATTAAAAAAATATTTGAATGGTAACATAACATATATAGTTTCTCTTTCACTTTTCAGTATTTGCTCATGAAGCTGCTAGAGCTAGTGATTAAGTATTAAATAGCCCGAAAGATTTCTGTCCCGTGTGCATGTCATTTCAATCTCAATAGGAGAATTAATTGAGAAGAGTGATAAAAGTGGCCCTGTAATTTTATACTTGATTTGAATTTTGAGGAAATGTTTAAAATAAGGCAAGATGAAAAGCATAAACTTTACGACTCCTTTCCTTGAGTCTATAAATTTTTTTTCTGGAAGGTATAAATCTAGAAATGTATTTCACCTCAAAAAGAATCTCAACAGGACTTGAGAAGTTTGCTGCTATCCCGCCCTTTAGCCGAGTCCAGCATCCATATTTTGCTATCACATGACCACCTCGTACCAGTTCACTTCCTTTTGTTTTGAATATAACTGACACAGTGTCACTTCCTTCACTGAGCTGAAACCAAGCTGAATGTGGAGGAGGAAGGAAAAATAATCACACAAAATGTTTCAGAAAAGTAATGGCCAGCATGGCAATACTCGTCAAATGAATTCTGGTGAAAGAGATGTCATATGACTCAACAATGGAGAAAGAGAAGTTACCAGAAAAGGTGTATAGCATTCCTTTCTTCAGTTGGACCTTCTGAGAGAAACAGTCCAATGATTGTTTTCTGTTGTGGGCAACAATGAATCTATTGCCTCCACTGGAAATTTGTTCCTTGATTGCTCCTTTTCCAAATACTGTCCAACCGTCTATGTTGTGATCAAATCCTGGATTTACTATAAGGCCTCCTCCATACTGTGCTGCCTCAGGTTCTGCCAAACACTGCTTGTTTTCAAGACAATGGCAACACATGTAAGTTTGTGTATTAATTGCTGACACTGACAGAGACTACCACATATGACATACCCATATTTAGTCCGCTTAAGATATTGCTTATAAAATAAAATAACATTGAAAAAATTTTGCAACTTAGAGAGAATACTCTAGTGGACTTTTCAGGTTATATGGTATATGAAACAAATGGTGAGGAAGTGTTATTGCCTTTGTAGTAGCAGAATAATCATAAGACAAAGAATGAACGCTAAGGCCTGCACGTGTTGAGAATATATATTATTAGTTGGAGATTCTATAAATATGTGAATGAAAACTTAGGTGGCATTGAAATTGAAAGAGAGGGAGGGAAGGGACACCTGAGATGAGTAAAAGGCAAATGGTAATGAACAACAAGTAGCAGCCTTCTGCGGCAACCATCATCTTTTCACTAATTAAATAAGACTTTACACACTAAATTTTCTTGCTAGTGTCAGGGGTATATATTGACGCTGGAAATCATCAGATGTATCAAGAACTTCCCTTAGTACTAAAACAAGAAGAAGAAAAAAACCTTCCCTTACACAATGCACCTTTATGGGTTATAATAATTAACTAGAGACAAGTGCATTACGTGTGAGCCTGGAAATCGCCTTATATGGATACTTACTGAGAATTATATCTATGATGTAGTTACATTTACAGTCATCTTTCCAATGTAATAAACTGAACTGAAAAATTCAGCAATCCACTCTCAATGACAGTTAATCAAGACGCATGATACCAAACATTGCAAATTATCTACCAAAGAAAACGTCAAATCTACCAAAATAAAAACATTGCAACTCATGCAAAACATTACAAAAATTAGCTAGACGAAATATTAAAAATTAAGTTTATTATATAAATGTGATTTATGTTTACCTTTTACGTTTGAATTTTTAACTGTATTAATATTTAAAAAAAAATTACCAAAATGGAACCCTGGACAATACATTTACCCAACTAGGACTGATTACTGTGCAAGGTCAGAATTCAATTATTTGAAAACCGAATTTTGACCTTCCCTGTGTGCTACCCTGGCGTCATGGGCTGCCGGAATTCGGTTTCCGGGGAACCGAATTCTCCCCGCCCAGCCATTTTTTTTTGTTTTTTTTTCTTCTGTTTTTAGTTTTTTGTATTTACTAAATAATAAATTATATTTATTATAAAACTCAAATTATAAATAATAATTAATAATAAATAATATTTATAATAAAAATCAAATTTTAAAAAGTTAATAACTTATATTGTTAATAGATAATAAATTTAATGTTATATTTATAATAAAATTTAAGTAAAAAAATCTAATAAATTTATTTTAATAAAAAATAATTTTGTAATAAATATTTATATATCTAAAAATATACTATTATAATCAACGAAAATTTTTAATTTTCAAAAATTTTGAATGAATATATTTATAAACCTTTATAAGTAATGAAACAAATTTTAATTATTCCTAAGAATCATTATTCTTAAAATTTGTAACACTCAAGAATATGATTCGTGAGAGCGAATGTCCCTTAAAGAGAAAAATAATAAGAAAAATGTGCTGCCTGAGAATGAACGTCCCTTAGAGAGAAAAAGAATAAGAAAATTGTTGTCAGCACAGAACTGTTATATAATTTTAATAAACAGCTAAAAAAATATTACAATTTAACAATTTTACTCCTTGAACACCAATAATTTATATTCTAAAATCTACTTCAGATTGATTCAAACAGAACCATGAATGCCCCTTTCTTCACGACATAACGTATAATTAAAGAATAGCTTTCATAGCAATAAATCGAATGGCAATATATTAATATAAAAAGTACACGAAAGGGACAAATTACATATTTAAAAATTTAAAATTCTTTTTTTAAATAAATATAAATATTAATTATTATAATTATTATTTATTAAATTCCAATTTTAATTTCAATATAACTTATTATAATTACTATTTAGTAAATTTAAAATTTATTATAAATATATCTTATTAAATTTATTATTTATTAACATTATAAGTAATTGACTTTTAAAATTTAAATTTTATTATAAATATCATTTATTATTTAATTATTATTTAAAATTTGAGTTTTATTAAAAATTTAATTTATTATTTACTAAAAATAAAAAACAAAACTAAAATGGCTGCTCCCAATTCGGTTTCCCGGAAACCATATTCCGGCAGCACACGATGTCAGAAAAGCATACAGTGAAGGTCAGAATTCAGTTTTCGGAAAACCAAATTCTGACCTTAAATAGTGATTAGTGCTAGTTGGGTAAATATATTATTTAGAGTGTTTTTTTTATAAAGATAAGAAAGATTACAAAGATGATCACAATGAGTATTGAACCTAGGTCTTCATGCTTCTAACTACCTCAACCCTCATTCAACCACTAGGTTAATCCCTAATAGTCACCAGGATTCTATTTTGGTATTTTTTTTAAAAAATATTAATACAGTAAAAAATTCTTTACGTTTCAGCTTTTATATAGTTATTTTATTCACCAGATGATTTTTATAATATTGTTTTATTGTATTTCTCTTTAACACATTAATCATCTTATGATATACTTAATTTTATCTCTTTTTTCGTTACATGATTTTTATAAAAAGTTATATAAATGTGATTTCAACTTTCATACTGTATAAAGAGGGTGGAACTGGAAAGGAGGGAAGGACTCGCAAAAAGAAAGGCAAGATTAGTAGAAGGAAGAGGCGGTGGGTGAACAGCAAATTGCAGTCTCTGCTGCAACCTCATCACTTCAACAATCAAAGAACCCTTATTCATGGTGGCTGGCTCAAAGAACTCTTCACTTAATTTTATGACTAACATTAAAATATAATAATGACGCAGCGAAATAATCAAATATTAAAAAAATTCCATTACATAATGCATTTATAACTCTGTAAGGCATATAATAGGGAGATTAATTGTTCATCATTTTTTTGTTCCTTCTAGAAAAATGCTGTTCATTTTTTATAAGTATTTTTTTATTTTATTTTTAAACCACCCATAAATAACTGTTGATAAAAAAAATCATTTCAACACAATGCAGGTACTAAATGTCTTTTTCCAAAAAGTATAACATAAAATTATCGCATTAAAAATAAAAAATTATATTTTGTCGACACTACTTTGACGAATCTTTCACATATTAGAGTAGTCCAATTGTTTTAGAAAATAAAGAGTTGATTTTAGCATCAAATGCAATGAAGGGTACAAAAATGAAATGTGAGTCGAAATATATAATAGGTCCAAAGCAGAGACATGCCTTGAGCAATGTCAGATAATTCGAATTGTGGACTCCAATGATGTCCCGTGAATCATCCCAACTCTATGTAGTGCTACAACTTACAAAGCAAACTTGATGGCTATTAGTATATCATATAAGGGCACTTCAAGTATATGATTATTAATACATCAATACATAAATTCAAATGCAAATATTAAACTATGATTAATTGATTATTTAAGTACCTACACCCCCTTGTGTAAAAAAAACAAATATCTACGCCCCGATACATATAAATCTTAATACATACTTTATAAATCTAGACATCAAATCACCTGATACACATGCAATTAGAATAAGGAAAATCATTCTTTTAGTTTACCCCATATTAATGAACAATGTTAGCTCAAATTTGTTAGTTAAGTAGTTAGGTTAGCAGGAATATTTTGTGAACAACAACTATAACGTTAACTTCAATATATTGTCCTCAAAATTAGTTAAATGTCAATTTAATAATATAATAATTGAATTAAAATATATTATAAATAATTTATTCCTGTTTTATATTCACTAAATTATAGTGTTATGTCAATCGAATAATTATGTTCATCATCATTATTGATAAACATTAGGAACTCATGTAAAGATGTAATATATTTTAAATCAAATTAATCACTTTAAATGATTATTGTATTATATATAATTTTATCTTGAACTGGACAACAATATATTGTATTAAATTGTCTAGATGTATTTATGTTATACATGTTTGGAAAAATTCAAAAAAATGAATATAATATTAATAAATATATATTTCATGGTGAGTGTGATCATATCCATGATAGAATATGTACATTTTATATAAGTGTGATTTTACTTGTCATAAAATATGCATTTTTTTATGTTAAGTGTGGTCACACTCATTAGAATATGGGTGTCAATATGATTAATCATCACATTTGATACCCATATTATGATGGGTGTTGATTATTCAACATAAAAAAGTAAACCTTTTACATAATATGTTTATCCGTCATAAAATGTGTAGACATTTTATGTTATTGTGATCTATGTTGCGTCTCGAGTCAACATAAAATATAAAAAATAACTAACATAAAACATTTTGTTCATAGTAATAATAGTATATTTAAGTTATAGAGAATATTTTTTGGAAATTAATTATTCGTCTAATAAATTCTATAAATAAAATATTTATACAACATCCCAATATATTTTATCAATTAATTAATTTATAATTGAATATTTAGGAACATGAAGAGGAGGAGCAACTTTAATACAAAATATATTTATATAAGAAAAAGTTTACATCATTTTTTTAAGGACCTAAAATTATAAGAAGTACGAAAATTCTTCATGCATTTATAATAAACTTGATCTTTCCATTAAGGATATTTTTTTAACAAAAAAGAACTCTATTGATTTTGTTTTTAAAATTTACTAAATTAAAATAATTTATAATACTCCCCATATTATCTTTTACAACAATAGTAGCCAATAAAAATTATAGAAGAATTTACCTTTACATTGTTGGAAAATATGAGAAGAATAAAATTGTATGATTATGACAATTGCAATTTCCTGGAAAGCAAATTTTGACAAAGTTTCTATATAACCTGATATTTGATTTGCTTTTCCAATGGTTTGTTTTCACAAAGATTACATAATGTTATCTTAATCATACACTTGAAGTACATATATTGACAAGAAGAACTAAGATAAGAAGAGAGAAACAATAATATACAAAGAATAATGACAAAACTGACAGAATATTTACTTATAATATATAAATAGCCTTTTAATTATCAAATCAATTGTAATCAAATCAAATCAGTATAAAGGAACGATTATAAAGTCATTTAGTTGCGAATACAATTACTTAAAGTCTTTAATTTTTGTATAGATCAAAATATGTCTTAGTTTAATTCAAAGTTAATATCTAATTAATCTTTGAAAATATTAAAAGATTAATCTTTATCGATAAATATTCTTTAATCTCTTTATCAAATGCTTAAGAGATAATATTATATATCATACCTTATTAATAATATTATAGTCTCTAAAACAATAATAATGTATATTATAAAATGAAAAGGTCATTAAATAAGAAAATAAATAATATTTGTTTTTTTTTTGAAAATATAAAAGAATTATATTTACAATAAAGAGTATGAAAAGCAAATAACATATTTATCTAAATAAATAAATAAAAGAATATATGTTATTACCTTCGTAATGAATATTATAAAAATAAAATAAAATAT